GCTGCCTTGCTGCTTTTTATTTTACTGTCAGATGACAGCTCACGGAGGAGGAAATACTGCTTGGAAAAGACACACACAAAAAAAAAACCTCCAAGAAACTAAAATTCCAGAAGCGAGCGTTCCAAATTCCATGCGAACATAGGTATTTTTTAAGCCACAGGGGTGAGAATAATAAGTCTTGCTCTGCTTTGAAAGCCTATACCACCCTCCCCATGGAAGGGCTGTCACCCTCCCCATGGAAGGGCTGTCACCCTGGTACAATTCTAAATAGCTCAACAAATGCTAAAGAAACAATAGGTTACAGAAGCACCCAGCAAGTTAGATGAATGACTTTGATGTGGCAGGACTGTTATTTACGGCTGGAGAAGAGCTCGCGATTTAGTCGTCAGAAATGCAAACCGATCACGCGTGTACAGAAACCGATACTCGCATGCAGCGCTCTAACCATGTACCTGCTGGCTGGGTTTCTGTCATGAAAGTAGGTTTTCCTGATGCTCCCTAAAGCAGTCGACTAACCTGGTAACTCCGCTCTAAAACTGGAATACGCCTTTAAAAGAGCTCCTCCAGGTTTCTTCTTAAAAAATAAGCTGCGGCATGCTACATGTAGCACGGAAGAAATTTTCATCTAGTTCTAAATTGCACTAGTTAGAACCTCAAACACCATAAAATAACTTGCACAGTACTTAAAGATAATACAACCCTGCCTTGCATTTACTTTTCTGCAAGGCAGATCACCATCAGGCTCTGGAATGGGCTGCCCAGGGAGGTGGTAGAGTCCCCATCCTTGGAGGTATTTAAAAGAAGGAGAGATGAGGTGCTTAGGGACATGGTTTAGTGGTGGGATGGCAGGGTTAGGTTAAAGGTTGGACTCGATGATCTTAAAGGTCTTTTCCAACCAAAGCGATTCTATGATTCTATGACCATGCTTCAGGTATGAGCATGAGCTGGGCATCTAGGATTTAAAAAAAAAAAAAAAAAAAAGAAAAAAAGAAAAATGACTGCAAAGAAACAAATTATGCAAGCGGAGGTGGGCTCGGCGGGCAGGTTTTTCGGGTCAGAGCAGTGCTGTGCATAATGCAGCTGTCCCGGTTCTGAACTCGAGCCCCAAAACGCTTTGCCACGTTGCTTTCAAGATCGAGTCTAAAGCCTGGCTTTGTTAACCGGCTTAGGTGCAGTCACACACACACACACACAATTCCTGTCTCCAAACCTGCCCGGCTCTCAGCCGCCTCACCTGGCCGGAGAGACGCAGCGTGCCCGGCTGGCTGGGTGAGCTCTGCTGACTGGGGGGCTATCGTTCGCTTTCTCAGAGGGGCTGCTAATTTCTTATCTACCAGTCGTCCCTTTTCAAAGCTTATGTGTGTATGAGCATTGGGATATTTCTATTCTTCTCTTGAATTTGGATGAATTGAAAAGCACGCGCAAAAGTTGTCAGGGTGGGGCACAAAAGAGTGTGATCCCGTCAGCCTCCCCTACTTAGGAAACTAGGCTTTTAAAAAAAAAAAAAAAATTAAAAATCCGAATCAGTCAACAGAGAAAGTCTTACTCGTGGGGCTTCAGGAAGGAATAAACCCTGCACCAGCCCGTTTTTCTTCCCTTTTTGCAAGTATCCTTGGTGACCTCGTTGCACTAACTTTTGCAGGGCTAGCCGAAGTGCAGGGGAATTCTCGGAGCGACTGTCTTTGTGCAGATGCTGCCCACCTTGCAAAACGGCCACACCAGGTTACTGCCACTAGCATAGACTTGCTTCCAAGAAGCTCAGATATTTGTATTTCTGCCCCAGTCAAGATCATACCCAGAACCATCATCTGCAGGCGTACAGAGCCTTAGAACAACAAAAAAAACCCCACCCACCCCCCCAAGCCCATGCTTTGTTCTGTTTCTATTTAGGTGCTTGTTTGGACAGACCGAGGTCATTATTTGGTAAACTGGTTGATGCACATCATTTTATGTTTTACATAAAACACTTAGCATTAACAAAATACGCTTTTTTTCCCTCAGCATCAACAAGTTAATGCCTTTCTATATTCCATCAGCCCATGAGTTGTTCCTCCTACTTGCAAGGCAAAAAAGCCGAGAAGACACACAGCTGGGACCTCCCGTTTCACCAGGCTGAGCTCTCTGCTATAAAATCTTTACAGTCCTTGGCATCAGAGATGAATTACATCTCTTGTGGGTGAGCTACAGGTGAAACTGGTCCTTGGGTACCAACACTAAGAGAACAGCAATAGAACAGTAGCCAACAAGTTAAAAAAAGCCTCTCCTGAAAACTCTTGTTGCTCCAACATTCCACGGTCAGCGCAACAAAAACATACAGAGCACTTTTACGTACAGCGGCTGGAAGGTTTTTGGATAAAACTCTGTTGATCTTT